AGCTCTTTGGTCTTGGCCATGGTGGAGAGTTTGGAATCTGATTGATTGATTGCTTCTGTGGACAGGTGTCTTTTATACAGGTAACAAGCTGAGATTAGGAGCACTCCCTTTAAGAGTGTGCTCCTAATCTCAGCTCGTTACCTGTATAAAAGACACCTGGGAGCCAGAAATCTTTCTGATTGAGAGGGGGTCAAATACTTATTTCCCTCATTAAAATGCAAATCAATTTATAACATTTTTGACATGCATTTTTCTGGATTATTTTGATGTTATTCTGTCTCTCACTGTTCAAATAAACCTACCATTAAAATTATAGACTGATCATTTCTTTGTCAGTGGGCAAATGTACAAAATCAGCAGGGGATCAAATACTTTTTTCCCTCACTGTAAATAGGAATAGAATATGTTTCAGAACACTTCTACATTAATGTGGATGCTACCATGATTACGGATAATCCTGAATGAATCCTGAATAATGATGAGTGACAGACGAACAAAGATCCTACCCTCAAGACATACTAACCTCTCACCATTACCAATAACAGGAGGTTAGCGTTTTTTGGGGGTATGATATTTATGCCTCTGTAACTTTCTCACTTTCTTATTTACAATAAAAGTAACTCCAAAATGACAATACATTATTTAACATGCATTCCTATGGGGCACAACATAATCTGAAACACAACCAAAATAAAAACTGTAAAACAGATATGTATGAAAATACCCTCAAAGAAAAGGTGACATTATGTACTGTCGCCTCATATGAAACATTTGATCTCAAATCCAAAATGCTGGAGTATAGGGCCAAATTAAAAGTTTTAGCTTCACTGTCCAAATAAATACGTAGGGGAGTGTACATTTAAAAAAAACTGCAGTGAATTCCATTGATTTAAACTTCAAATTTGAAGTTAGACTTTAGCTGTTAGATTTGTCCATATAATTATTTATTTTACTATTTTTAGGGTTGTTTAGTTTGACCACAAACTAATTTACTTAGTCTTTAGTATAAAGCTCTAACAATATGAATTATTTTACCATCAAAAGGGTTGATTGTCAAGAAAGTGGTGAGTAGTAATATTTCTCAGTAGTAGGTCACTTATTTTATCCCCTCCCTTCAAGGACTTGTTTAATATGTTTCTTTGGACAGGGACAATGTACAACAAAAACAAAAAACAAAATTGTGTGTTGCACCAGATTTATATATATAACCGCTAATTTCCATCTGTAGTCTCTGGGCAGATTACTTCCAAGCACTTGATAACAGATTACAAAACATGTTCTCCCTTGAGCAAGAGCAATACAGTTGTATTTTGAATTAATTTGTTAATGCACAGACATGATCCATACGCATTCATATTTTTATTCTATCTGTATTCTTTTCAATCAAACATTTTATACTACCACCCTAATTTTGATTGTCCATTAACTATCATAAAATAAGTGTACATTAACTGTGTACATACAGTTGAAGTCGGATGTTTACATACACCTTAGCCAAATACATTTAAACTCAGTTTTTCAACATTCCTGACATTTAATCCTAGTAAAAATTCCCTGTCTTAGGTCAGTTAGGATCACCACTTTATTTTAAGAATGTGAAATGTCAGAAAAATAGTAGAGAGAATTATTTCTTTCAGCTTTTATTTCTTTCATCACATTCTCAGTGGGTCAGAAGTTTACATACACTCAATTATTATTTGGTAGCATTGCCTTTAAATTGTTTAACTTGGGTCAAACATTTCGGGTAGCCTTCCAAAAGCTTCCCATAATAAGTTGGGTGACTTTTGGCCCATTCCTCCTGACAGAGCTGCTGTAACTGAGTCAGGTTTGTAGGCCTCCATGCTCGCACACGCTTTTTCAGTTCTGCCCGCAAATTTTCTATAGGATTGAGGTCAGGGCTTTGTGATGGCCACTCCAATACCTTGACTTTGTTGTCCTTAAGCCATTTTGCCACAACTTTGGAAATATGCTTGGGGTCATTGTCTATTTGGAAGACCCATTTGCGACCAAGCTTTAACTTCCTGACTGATGTCTTGAGATGTTGCTTCAATATATCCACATAATTTTCCTTCTTCATGATGCCATCTATTTTGTGAAGTGCAGCAGTCCCTCCTGCAGCAAAGCACACCCATAGCATGATGCTGCCACCCCCGTGCTTCACGGTTGGGATGGTGTTCTTCAGCTTGCAAGTATCCCCCTTTTTCCTCCAAACATAACGATTGTCATTATGGCCAAACAGTTTTATTTTTGTTTCATCAGACCAGAGGACATTTCTCCAAAAAGTACGATCTTTGTCCCCATGTGCAGTTGCAAACCGTAGTCTGGCTTTTTTATGGTGGTTTTGGAGCAGTGGCTTCTTCCTTGCTGAGCGGCCTTTCAGGTTATGTCGATATAGGACTCGTTTTACTGTGGATATAGATACATTTGTACCTGTTTCCTTCAGCATCTTCACAAGGTCCTTTGCTGTTGTTCTGGGATTGATTTGCACTTTTCACACCAAAGTACGTTCATCTCTAGGAGACAGAACGCGTCTCCTTCCTCAGCGGTATGACAGCTGCGTGGTCCCATGGTGTTTATACTTGTGTACTATTGTTTGTACAGATGAACGTGGTACCTTCAGGCGTTTGGAAATTGCTCCCAAGGATGAACCAGACTCGTGGAGGTCTACCATTTTTTTCTGAGGTCTTGGCTGATTTCTTTTGATTTTCCCATGATGTCAAGCAAAGAGGCACTGAGTGGTAAGGTAGGCCTTGAAAAACATCCACAGGTACACCTCCAATTGACTCAAATTATGTCAATTAGCCTATCAGAAGCTTCTAAAGCCATGACATCATTTTCTGGAATTTTCCAAGCTGTTTAAAGACACAGTCAACTTAGTGTATGTAAACTTCTGAACCACTGGAATTGTGATACAGTGAATTATAAGTGAAATAATCTGTCTGTAAACAATTGTTGGAAAAATTACTTGTGTCATGCACAAAGTAGATGTCCTAACTGACTTGCCAAAACTATAGTTTGTTAACAAGAAATGTGTGGAGTGGTTGACTCCAACCTAAGTGTATGTAAACTTCCGACTTCAACTGTAAGTGTACATTAACTATCACAAATGAAATGAAAGTAATGAAGAGTAGGTAATTATCTAGTTCCTTATTACAGTTCATGAATATTGTCTGTACAGCTGTAATGAAGCCACATGTCTTGCACTGCGTTTAACACGGTTGACCACAGAAAACAACTCTCACTCTGATTTCACAGTGACAGAGTTCTCCAAGACAGCTACCTTCACTCAATGCAAAACTGCTCACACAGGCATATACTACACAATCACACCAGGTCGTATTGGTAGATTCACATGACTAGACAAGGAAAGTTGTGATTCATCTCATGTCTGAGGACACAAATCCCTTCCATGAGTGATAACCAACTCTCAGACAACTAAATGGACTCCCTAGGAATGAAATAGCCAGTTCCACAGAGATACCACTTCCCACAGGACAATAAGGGGTGCTCGTCAGGGCCTATCCCCTATATAATGACACTATGAGTACTGCTAGTGTTACTCGCTTCACAGCTCGTAGGCTCAGTCCCCACCCACTATTTCCTTTATGCTGAAACAAAGACCAGGGCGACAGGGAAGGAGGGGTTTTCTCTTGAATCTGTCACAAGCTCACTTCCTCCTCTCAGATAGGAGCCAGTAGTACAACATCCGCTCCATAAGAAGATGGAACTCCTTAGTTAACCTCAGAACGCTGACGCTGCAGAAACCGGCTAACGCACACTTGGACACTACACCGCTTCCTGTCTGACTAACACTGGAGGTTATCTCACATGAAATCATGGGGATGCTTGTTCAGTTTTCCCCAACAGGGAATTATTATGACACCGTTTGGAATCAAACAAAACAAAAAAGATAACAGAGGTTAAAAATAACTCATGAAGTGTTAAAGTACTGCTATAATGGCAAATTGTTCATTAAATATACTTTCCCCAAGTAAAAAAACACTCGCATTTCCCCCCAATTTGATTATCAAATGAATAACATTGGGTAAATTGTAAAGGTATGATTTGTAACTAGGCATAATGTTTTGTATATTGTTATTTGACATTTGTTCAATTTAAAACGTATGAGTTAAGTGCCAGAGCTAATGAAATTGTGAAGTGTTTTGAAACACTCAGCCACCACAGATGATGTAAGACTGAACTCATTACATTCTTATTGACTAATGAGTCAGTGACCCCCACACCAACCTAAAGATGCAATCATAACACGTGACAATACACAGAAAATACTGTGCTGCTGAACTTCAGCCAGGGTCCTACACATGCTGGTAACCCCTAGCTTGTATGTCTGTTTGAAATCAACAGCCCTCTCTCCAGCTTTCACTGGTTTCTATGGAATTGTTTGTTTGAGATTTCACCACCGTGGGATTCATGCGGAATTCTACCATAATTATCAAAACTATACATTTCCCAAAATGAGCAATACCATAAGGACAGAAACTGATAATATAACATAAGCTGAATTTTAAATTAGGTTTCAGAAGTAATAAACAGCAGGCCTCAGTCTCGGGGGTAGGTTTCAGGTGGGAGTCTGGTTTCAAGGGTCCCTTTCTGTTTTGGTGCAAAAGTATATCGTCCCAGAAGAAGGAAATATTGTGGAGTGCCCTTAGTCATTGTTGTAGTCCTTCAAAGAATTTCCTGTTGTTCCTACAGGCTATGTTTGTGTAGGAGGCCAACCACACACAAACAGCTATTTGATGTGTCTGCGGATACATTTAGGCTATTGTCACCTATGGCACTTATTAGATGTATAGGTCCTCTGATTCAGAGTGAATCTGCTCTGTAGTTTCCTGCCTTGTGTGCAGAAAGTATGTTTTCGTTGTCACTCTCGCTTCCGTACACCCCACGCACCCACCACTTGATGCAACTCGGAGCTCACGTTGTGGTAGTAGCCAGTGGAAAAGAAAATGTCATTACTCATTCAATCATACTTTCCACAGTTTTCCAATATCTCAAACGTGGTTTTCCTGTGTCCTGATGGACAAATATATAGGTAAGTTAGACACCTGTCCGCATTACCAGTAACTGTTTTGAACAGCATCCTTTGGGTAATTTGTGCCATCGTTAGAGAAAGTTAAGAAACGATGAAGCTGCTTGTTTGTTGTCTTCTAGCCGTCACCTGTTGTGTTTTGGTGGATGCAGTCAAGGATGAGAGATCACTGAAGCTGACTGAAGTACTAAAGGAATTAAAAGCGCTAAACAAAAGTGTGGAGGTAGGTCAACCTGCAATTTATTTAACACTTTCTCAAAGCTTACGCGTTATAAGCGCTTATGTATTTGATGGACTCGTGCAAGAAACCATGAGCTTTTATGAATGATTATAGCATGTTTTATTATGCACTATACTGTGTGATGCAATGCATCTATTGCCTTTTTACATTTATAAAGGCTGTATATGGCTCAGAAATTATTACCATAATGGTAATACTACATTTCTGAGGCTGATATGTATACAATGCAACCTCAGTCCCAATATTATTTTGTTGTTGTCTTGCAGCACAACAGCGTGATGTTGAACACTCCTTCACTGGATATGGAGGTAAGTGATTTTAAAGGGAAAATCTACTATAGCTCATTTACTTTACAGACATATGGAGCTCATGCTAACGTCATTGTCAAACACTCACAAACAAGGAATGACCTCTGTTATTGTCAATGCTATTATTCATGCTCTCCCACCTACTGCATGTCGCATAATGTAGCACGCTAGTACTAGAGCAGGCAATTGTGGTCTTGTGAGGTCAGGAAATAAAGGTCTGATACATTATGGTAAAAATTACATAATCAACAATACTGTAAAGCAATAAACAGTACAATTACATTTGTAATACATTTGCATAAATTGTGTATAGTTAATTGACTATATCACCAATAATTAGTAAATACTTAGTTTAATAGTCTAATTTTATGTAATTCATTTAGTAATCCTTTAGTCATTATAACATGATGTGGAAACACTGGAAAGGTACACAGTACTACTAATTTTTATGGAAAATTATTTTGTTAAACTAAAAAACATTTCAGCTAAATTACTAGCATGAATACGGTCAATTGGTTTTACAATATGTGAATTACTTTAAACTAAACCAAATAAACTAACTGAAAGTATTAACGGACAATCTACTAAATAAAAAATGTGTTGGTTTTATCTTAATAAAAAAAAAAAAAAAAAAAAAAAAAAGGTGGAATACATTTACAGCGTTAACATATGATTAGAGTCCCATACTCAGAATCACAAACTCTTTCATTAAAAAAAAAACACAACGGATGCAACTAAAGAAAACATCCACTTGATAATAGAGAATGATTTTTCTTTCAGCTATTTATCAGTTGCACTAACAGTCAATCCAGTTTGGCATGTGTTATTGTCAGAGTTCTGTGCATGAATGAGTCAATGTGAAAGTGAGCTCCATGTCATGAATGAGTCAATGTGAAAGTGAGCTCCATGTCTCTTGTGCACATTTAGGAGAACTGTAATGAGTAATCACACTACCATGACTCTGTGGCTTATCCCCGAGAGACAAACTGTGCTACTGTGCTGTTAAAGATTCCTTATTAATAAGAATTCCTTGTGGTTTTACAAAATGTTTGACTATATCTTAAAGTTAGCTGAACATAGTTGTCCTAAACTGGACCAAATATTTCATTAGTATACCATGGAACCAGTCTGTTACCAATGTTTCATGGGTGAACATTCGATCAAAGGTTGCCATGTTATCGTTTTGACACTAAATATAAAGTTGTGTCTGAACACTCTTAGATAAAAAGGTGCTTTCTAGAACCTAAACGGGATCTTCGGCTGTCCACATAGGAAAACCATTTTTGGTTGCAGGTAGAACCCTTTTGGGTTCCACGTAGAACCCTTTCCACAGAGGGTTCTACCTGAAACCAAAAAGGGTTCTACCTCGAACCAAAAAGGGCTCTCCTATGGGGACAGCCGAATAACCCTTTTTTCGAAGAGTGTAGCCGTCTAACAGTTATCGTTTGAGAACTCAAAAGTTTGAGGCCCGCCGCATGGGGAAAATAACATTGCCTAATGGTTGAGACAAATGAAAGCCTCAACATGGAAAATGTGTTGTCATGTCAGCAAAGATAGTTATTTTCTATTCTGTGAAACGCCCAGTCAAAGTGGAGAAACTGGAAACAGGCAGCAAGTTAAAACGGTGAAAACATCTCTCTACTGAATCTCAGTGAAGCGGGGAAAGATATTTTTATGTATTGGATACGTTGGTGGAAACATGATCATTTCTTTGTCGGGGTGTGGATGTGATGTGCCATGGTAGACGGGAAAGTCTTACCCTGATAAGCAGAATATGACCTTTGTGTGTCAAGGTTTTGTAGCAAATGATTACACAATCAATATATATTGTAAGAAAAGTTACGACTTATTACAACTAAACTATGTCTCTGAGAGGAGCAACATACTTGAGAGCGGGTCATGTTATGAAATATAGGCATTAGGTGAATGTGGCTCAATAGAATACATTTGGCTGGCATGAACTGGACATTTTGTATGTATTCTGGTAGAAGTTCAGGTTAATTAAATGTAGCAGTGTGATAAATGGCTGATTTATCTTGATAATTGTATGTGGCTTAATTAAGCAATAAGGCCCGAGGAGGTGTGGTATATGGCCAATATACCACGGCTAAGGGCTGGCATGAAGCAAACGCGACTAGGTCCCGTCCATATATTTAGAACAAAAAGACAACAACATGGTCTTGTCTCTGGCAACCGAACCGATAGAACGAATGACCAGCCGGCTTGGGTAGCAACCCTAGATTTGTGTCGGGACTATATCTTGTGAAAGGATGACATAGTTTTGAATAAATTCATCAAAATAGCATTAATTAAAATATGTAAATCATTATTTGAATATGTTGGTAACCCATTGTATAAAAGTGATAATGCCCTCGAATCCGGTGTTTGGAGGATATATTTGCACGGTTTGCTGACCCGAGACGAAACACCAGTGCCAATATATCCTCTAAACACCGCTTCGAGGGTATTTTAACTTAAATACAGCAGTGCCCTCCTGTGGTTCCTATTCCACATTACAACGTTTACATGCAAGTGTAACAGAGTATCAAAATACATTCAAATGATTTCCCTAAACTAGTTTAATTAGTGGAGAATAACCAGTCTTGTTCCATTCCATAATTTATTGTGTCATTTTGCTTTTTACAGGAGTGCTGTTCCCTATATGCCTTGGAGTGCTTCCGGGCGATGGTACCTCATCTCACGGCCAGAAACAAGCAACTTCAGCATAAATTTGCCAAAAGCCTCAGGAACCCACTGATTGTGAGTCACTTAAGAAAATATCAATAATGTATATCTATAGAAAAATGTACATAGCAAGACTGTGTGGCAAAATATTAACATGTTGCTTTGTTCGGTTTTTAGTCGACAAGTCTGGACTCCTGCAGTCTAGAGGAGAGAGAGGTGAGCCTTGGGCTATTTTCAGTCCAAATCCAAGAGTAACTTCAAATGAGTATTTTCTCCAGAAAATAAGTTAAATTGTGAGAGCCAACTAAGTTAAAATTTTCTGTGTTCCTTTATTCCCTCAGAAAACAGTCTGCCAAGGATGTGATTCCTATCCAAAGGACAGCCAGAAATGGGTACAACAGTTGGAATCTCTACTTCAAAAGGTATCAGGTTTTTATAAATGAGTCAGACTTTTAACAACAATGTAATCTACACTTCAATGAGAGCAAATTATGGTAGTGTGCAGTGTGCTAACTATCTAAATATGTTTTTCAGGCCATCAGTAGACTGGCGTGAGGAAAAGATTGGGGGGGGGGGGGGGGGGGGGGGGAACGACGACGTGGAAAAATACATGGGAATGTGTAGAAGACACTACTGTCACCCTACTATTCTATTTATTTAATATTTATTTATGAAATGGTGTTATCCTACTCAAGCTAAAGAACGTTTTTAATGTTTGTATCATGCAGTTTATCATAGATTTATTAATATTTCTTTATTTATTCACATGAACATGTTTGTATACTATTCACATTGTTAGCTGTCAATATATCTAACCCATTACAAACTATGCATCTTATTAAATCAAAAATAAGTATCTCACAATGAGATTAAATCGATTGAAAAGGTGACGAAATTATGAAATAGGAGACAAAGTATTTATTCATCCTTTTTGATGATCCTATACTGTTGCTTTTTGTATTTAATCAATAACATTTAATTGAATGTAAGAAAATTAAATAACGAATATTGTATATGTGTTCTGACTGATTATTTCCATTTGAATCACAAATACAATTTAGCCCATTCATTCACAGCAACAGATAAGGGGGGGGGGGGGGGGTTGTAGATGTTGTTTGTAAACATTCTTCAACACACAAACATTGATCCAAAATATACGTTTACTGTGAAATATAATAAGTGCATTGGTTAAATCACCAAAACACAACATAATGATATCAATTTAACCGTTTTAACAACTAGTTAAAACAATAGCAAAAAATGCAACATACATGTTTAAAAATTGCCCTTTGAAGTGCTGAAAGTAATATAGTCCATTACAATGTTTTCACGTTAGGTTATACACTTGTACTACCCATCAAAATGCACTGAACATCTTATTTCCATCCCATTTGTGATCGGTGTTATCATTGAAGACATCTTCCACAGTCATTGATACAAAAAAATACATTTTGATTTTCAGATATAATTACAACATAGGAGTAGGCCTACTGTAATCAAATGTAGGCTAACAGTCAAAATTACAGTAAACAAAGGAAAATAATGAAAGAAAGAAACTAGTTAGCAGGCACTAGTTTGTATCAAGCCAGTCTTGAGCATTTGGCCAAAGGTTCTCATCCAAATCTCAGTAAATATCCTCATTGTTCGTGCACCTGGGGAAAAACCTTTTGGCATGGCAAATCCAAGCCTGACATTGGTCTGGATTGAAATCATTGCATGCCTCATCCATGGCCTGAAGGAGAGTGGTATGCTCATGGGGATGGCAATCATACATCTTTCACCTGCATTGTAATCATGCATTGTATTTTACAGTATTGTACATATATGTATTGTAGTGGTCCTGTACGTGACTCAGTTCGTAAGAGCGTGGCACTAGCAACACCAGAGTTGTGGGTCCGATCCCACTGGGGTCACATACAAATGTGTAGAGTCACTGTTGTCACTTTGTATCACAGCGTCTTCTACGTAAATGGCATATATTATAGTATTACAGTACTGTATTGGCCTATATTATGGTATTACAGTACTGTATTGGCCAGTGCAATTTTAGTAAAGCAGTGTGAACCCCACCTCAGCAACTTAATTTTGAATACATGTTTACATACAGTACATATCTGATCTTGTCAATATCAGATTTGTTTTTACAGTAAAACTTACTGTGAAGTAAAGTCATAATAGTCATCATAATAGTACATTACAGTATACAGTGCATTCAGAAAGTATTCAGACTCCTTGACTTTTTTCACATTGTTACGTTACAGCCTTATTCTACAATGGATTAAATAGTTTTCCCCCCTCATCAATCTACACACAATACCCCATAATGACAAAGCAAAAAACAGGTTTTGTAATTTATTTTGCAAATGTATTTTTAAAAAACGGACATATGACATTTAATAAGTTTTCACTTTGACATTATTGGGTATTGTGTGTAGATTGATGAGGATTTGTATTTATTTAATCCATTTTAGAATAAGGCTGTAATGTAACAAAATGTGGAAAAAGTGAAGGGGTCAATACTTTCCGAATGCACTGTATATCATACTTTATGTTTCTACTTTGCAGACATAGGCCTACATTTTCATTATGTAGTTCTCAGAGTCTGTAGTAGACAAACCAGTTAAAAATCTATAGGTTTACCAAACGGTTTAGTGTTTATCAATTAAGAGCAGTCAGATTAAGTAATTGTAAAATGTATTTTAACAAATGAGAAGAGAATCATATCAGAATTAATGTGTGCATTGCATTGGGAAAGGCAATTACTTTATGTGAACATGTATTGATCTGTCAAACATGTATATCTAGATGAAACACTGATTAAGTTGTGAAAAAGTGACTGATTATGTGTTGTACTTAGTCAATCAAAAATGTGCTTAGAGTTTTGAAACTACCTTTTTGATGATCTGATTTGAGTTTTGTATTAAGAGTTGCGAAAATTGTACCACATACCTGTGAAAATTTCACCAAACATTAAAAAAAACTAAATTAGAGTTTTAAAAGGGGAATTTCACCCTGGGGGAATCTGGACTTGTTTTCATCATGTCCGAGGAATTTCTAGGTCAGTGAGATGTGTTTGACACATAATTGCCCAGGAGGAAGGCAGGTCTGGGTTTCGCGTGCTGAGTGATACACCCTATTACAGCTTCCGGTGTATTAATGGGGAGGGGGGAGGGTGGGCCTCTATGTTATACTGATCGCACTATGCATTTTGTGCATGTAGATATGGTTGTCCTTGTTTGATAGAGCCATTGGACCTCTTTCAGCAATGTTCCTATCGGCGATTCATTGCTAAATATACAAGCTGACACATTTTCCAGTCTCTGAAAGATTACAAAAAGTATTGAGTGGTGCTTCGTACTCTGGCCTGTCCCTCCCCCAAGGTGGGCCTTTTTGAAAAGGTAGCGGACACTGACAACACAATCCTTTGAGCAAAACTGAAAGAACTGACCAGACCACAATGGCTTCAAGTGATGCCTCTCATCAACACGAATTTGACAATGGAGCATTTTTTAAATGTTCTATTAGCTAAAGAGTTGGATTTAGCTAGAAGCTCAGCTACAGCCAATGCCAGCACCAAGAGGGCAGATGACAAATACGGTGGAGAGCTAAGTTATTTTTCCTGCAAGTTACCTAGGTAACTTTAGTTTATCTACTGAAACCCATATTGTGTATTGTTGGCTAACATACTACTGTGTTACAGTGGGGGGAAATCAAATAATTGTTCTGTTTGCTAACTTAGGTAGCTAGCTAGCTAAGTTAGCTAAACAACTACAGGTAGCCATATCTATGACTAAAAATTGAAGGTTTTACAATCAGAGATCTATTGTATCTCAATTATTATCTGCAAATGTTAGCACATGACTGGAGTTGGCTGGCTAGTTAGCCTGGTACCTGCTAACTTGTTATGCGCCATGCCTTCAGTTTGTAACTTGTTAGAAAATGTGTAACATCAGCAACTGTAAATAATTGTACTAGCTAGCTTTGTAACATAATTGAGGAGGGTTGACATTGGTTATGACTGACCTTCATGTCTTAAAGTAATGATGGACTGTCGTTTCTCTTTGATGGACTGTCGTTGGACTGTCGTTTCTCTATTTGAGCTGGTCTTGCCATAATATGGACTTGGTCTTTGACCAAATAGGGCCATCTTCTGTATACCCCCCACTACCTTGTCACAACACAACTGATTGACTCAAACGCAAATTCCATAAATTAACTTTTAAGAAGGCACACCTGTTAATTGAAATGCATTCCAGGTGACTACCTCATGAAGCTGGTTGAGAGAATGCCATTTCTTACACATGTATTGTTATGTATGGGAAAATTGAGGAGAAATGGCACCTTTCAATCGTTCTCATACACAATACATTTACTGTCACTAAGCAAAACCAAAACTCCCTTCCTCATCTCAAAGACCTATCTGGAAACCTCCCCCAGCCCATTGACTTTGACAGATCATTCTTGTCAATAGTAGCCCTCAGCAGGGGATTTTTGAAGATGTGTCTTTGCATTGTGTTTTGAGAATCAGCAGAGAGAATAATGAGTTGGTTGTGTCATTATTGTTGTAGTCTTGATTGTATACCTTTCAGTGTCTCTTGCTCCCACAATCTTTGTTGTGCTCCATAACCACAAGGTGTGTCCCCTCCCTCATGCTCGTGTACCCAAAAGGCCGCCGCTTTGGGGTATTTTTTCAGCAGGGCCTGTGGAAGGACTTATACAAAGAGAAAAACGGTAGACTAAACTTATTACATGGTCTGGAAGGTTCTGTGGTCCTCAGGCTACATCTAACCACCTGTAACCATCTCTAACCACCTATAACCCCATAACACAAACCCATACAAACACTACCCAATTCATGTTTATGCCATACTTACTGTAAATTGAGCCATCTTAGCCCTCAGCTTGTAAATATTTTTGCCAAATTACCTTCACCTTGTGCAGAGCTGGGGGTGGAATCACATACTGGTGGAATCAGATCCTGTAACACCTACTACAAAACACACAACAATAAATACACAATTTAGACTGGTTAGCTTAGCACACATAACATGGACATTTCAACATCGTCAGCTTGCTGTTAGCTAGCTTCACTAATTTGGCAGCAAGATTGCTAGCCAGCTGAGAACCATAGACAATTTATACACATTCATCATTGCTACCAACACACAACCAGAGAGTTAGCTAGCTTACGTGATTTTGCCGATGGTTTTCAGAGTTCAATACAGGAGTGTAACGTTTGCTAGCTAACTTACCTAGGCTAGCAGGCTAGCTTACGTTACCTCTAATTGAGAAAAAGGTAGGGGCATGGATCAGTAAACCAGTCAGGATCTGGTGTGACCATTTGCCTCATGCAACGCAACATCTCCTTCGCATAGAGTTGAGCAGGCTGTTGATTGTGGCCTGTGGAATGTTTCCCCAC